AGTCTCTGTCCCTGGTCAGTGCAGCCCCAGAGTTCAAGCCGGGGGGCGGGCACGCAGGGCGTTAAGGGGCACCTTACGTGATCCGAGGCCGACCGGCTGCCTCTCCCTGGGGTTCCGCCGCAGCCTTCTCCACGAGCCACTCCACTCCACCAGCTGTCCCATGAGCCGCTCCCGCTGTCCACGAACTGCTCTGGCAGCTGCTCCGCTCTGCTCACCAACCTGTGAGCCGCTCAGCTCTGCTCCACTTCAGCTGTTCCTTGGGCCGCTCCCACAAGGCTCCGCTCTGCTCGCTGCTTCTCCAGCCACTCCACCCTGCTCACCAACCTGTAAGTCGCTCAGCTCCAGCCGTCCCGTGAGGCTCCACTCTGCTAGCGGCTCCACCAGCCACTTAGCAATATAGCTTCAGGCTCCCCCACTAGTTAACACAGTCTCAGTGATCTCAGCTCTTAATAACTTTAGCTCTTTTGTGATTTCAGCTCATAGTAAGGGAGCCCCAGTCCTAGTGCACCATTGGCCCAAAGTGAATTCAGCTCAGCAGCCTGTAAATAGACTCCTAATGGAATCAAAGTTAGCTCTGACATTCAACAGTGGAGAGAGGAAATAGTGCAATTGGTGTTTCAAACCCTCAAAGAGGGCCCATACCATCAGATATAAATACCTGTTCACATCCTCTCTCCAGTCACTGGGTTTTGTAACCCATGCCCCTTGTCAAGCAAGTGCTACTTAGGTAATGGTGAAGGACTCACTCAGTCCTTCTGTCATACAACATTTCCACTGGCCTTGATTCACAGAATCAGGGTAACAAAACTTTATTCTTCCTGCCCCAATAACAGAGAAACTGGGGATCCCACACCAGCCAAAGTAACCACTTTGAGTTGCTGTTGTTTCATGCCAGGCGAGTGGGTGTGCCTATGCAAACCAGATCAGCCCCTGGAGTTCTTTTCCACACTCGCCATAATTCACCACCAGATGTCAGGGTAGAGCTCATCCTGACTCTGCTTACATGAGGACCCCAAGAACTAGGCAGCCGGGGCTCGGTGTCTGCAGGTCCGGGATTCTGGGTCAGGGGGACTCTGGGATCTGGAAGAGAATCTCCTCCAGGGGGCCCCTGGATCTGCCCATGGCTAGGGCCATCCGGGGAATCATAGAAGATTACGGTTGGAAGAGACCTCAGGAGGTTCTAGCCCAACCCCAACTAAATCATCCCAGCCAGGGCTTTGTCAAGCTGGGCCTTAAAAACCGCTATGGATGGAGATTCCACCACCTCCCTAGGAAACCCATTCCAGTGCTTCACCACCCTCCTAGTGAAATAGTGTTTCCTAACATCCAGCCTAGACCTTCCCCACTACAACTTGAGACCATTGCCCCTTGTTCTGTCATCTGCCCTCTCCTGTGCGCAGATCCCAGCTTACCCAGACCCTCCATCTCTCTGAGCCCCACTGGGGTCACCGCCCCAGGGGCAGACGTCACCATCCGGTGTCAGGGGCAGCGCCGGGATGTGAGGTTCTTCCTGCACAAGGCTGGAGACCAGAACCCGCCGCGACACATGGACCCTGCTGGGGACGGGGCCGAGTTCCGCATCCCCACCGTGGGCCGGCAGCACGGAGGGAACTACAGCTGCAGCTACCGGCCCCGATCAGAGCCCTTCGTCTCCTCAGAGCCCAGCGACCCCGTGCAGCTGGTGGTAGCAGGTGAGGGGCCCGGCTCCATGTCCCCGCTCCCAGCTGGACCCTCAAAAAGTCGTCACCCTGATGGGGGATGCTCAGAGCCAGACTGCCCAGAGCCCTAGGACTGGCCTGGACAGGGAGCGGGGACAGTGTCACTGGGGGGTTCCCCAGCCATGGGGGAGCAGCAGCTCCTGGAGGTTCAGGGCTGAGCGAGGGGGGATCCCTGCCCCCAGGGTGTGCTGCAGAGCAGGGGCCTTTCCTAGGGGATGCTCCCCCGGCTGGCTCTCTCTGAGGACACACAGAGGAGTCAGGGCCCAGGGGCTGCCCAGCCGGCATCGTCCGCAGCCACAAACACCCCTCCTTGGAACTGACAGTAACGATCGATGGCCCCGCCCCATTCTATCCCCCCACTACAGCCCCACAACTCATTTGCTACTTTCTGCCCCCCCGCCCCCCCCACCTGTGAGCCCAAGACCCGAGAACTCTGTCCCCGCATCCCGGTGTCTTGGGGGTTTTCAGGTTGAGCGCCCACAAACCAAGATGCCCACAATTAGTTAGTGGAGACCTTTGCTGGCCTCAATAGCACTGGATCCCTTGTGTTGGGGAGGATGAAGGGCCCCTGCCATGATCAGGGCCCCGTTGTGCCAGACGCTGCATAAACACAGAGTGAAGAGAGTCCCTGCCCCTGGGAGCTCACTAAAGAAAGTGAATCTGTCTGTGCCTCAGTTTCCCTGCCTGTATAATGGGGAGCTCCCCCAGCGCTGAGACAGCTGCAGGTATCGAGACCTCCTCCTGTCCTGGGGCCACAGCGGAGGTCCTGGTGCTATGGCTTCCCCTGTCCCCCCACCCCGTGCTTCTGCAGGGAGCAGGGTCGGGGTGCTGGGGCTTCCCCCGTCCACTCGCCCAGCGGTCGGGCCTCTGGGGACTCCCACTTGGCCGGGGACCCTGGGCATGGGCCTTGTAGGTCCAGTGGCTAATCCATCGCTGGTCGCAGAGGATGGGGGGCGATCTATGAGTTGGTGTTTCAGCCCCTCCCCCCATCCTGACAGACGCTGGTTCTATTCCCACAGGGGGAACCGACCCAACTCAGCCTGGAGCGGCGCCGACTCCCACCCGCTCGGGCAGCACGGGCCAGGAACTGGGGCTGGGGGGAATCTATTGAGTCACAGATTATGGGGCAGCTTCCCCCAGTGGTTGTCCAGGGGGAGGGATGGAGGCTGTTCTCAGGGGCAGTGACTCCCCCACACACCGATGGATTTGGGAGGGGAGTGAAGCCTCCTGCTCAGACAAGAACCCGCCACTAACAGGGCAGCTGGAGGCTTCCTCTGGGGGCAGCTGGGCCCATCAGTAGCCCTGGGCGGGGGCGGAGAGCCTGAAGCGCCCTGCGAATCAGCCAGGAGCAGCCAGCATGGGAGGCGGGATACCGGGCTAGATGGGCCCGTTGGCCTGAGCCGGTGTGGCCATGAGGAAGGGGGTGAAATGCCTTAGAAATGACGGCCAGGCTGGATCAGACAGCGCCCCCTAGTGCCGTGCTGGGGCAATGAGGCCATTCCTTTCTGAGGGGGAAAGCACCCCCTACTGAGCTCCCTGCCCTGCAGCCCAGCGCCCCCCAATGCTACAAATCCCCCAAATCTTGCTGGCTCTGACCCCACTTGGTGCTCTGGGCCCCCCAACATCCTCCCCATAGAGTTTTCTGCTGCCTGCGCCCTGCGGTGTCCCAGCCCCTTGGGCACCGCCTGGGGTGGGAGGGGCTGGGGGGGGGACACACCAGCCGCTCCCGGCACTCACGGCTGCTGCTGTTTCCCAGGCCAATCGGAATCGTCGGCACCGACCAGCCCCATCATCGTCGGGGTGAGTGCGGCAGCCGCCGGCCTCCTCCTCCTCCTCGTGGCCTTCGTCTGCTTCAGAAAAACCCGAGCCAGTGAGTGCCCCGCCCAGCGAGGGAAGGGTTAAACCTGCCGCTAAGCAGGGCGGGATGAGGTCACGGCTGGGATGGGGGACTGTGCCGGGGAAGCCAAGAAGTGGGGTGGGGGCTCAGCAGGGGGTTCTGCTGCATGTGTAATCCCTGTACACACAGCTGTCCCACCCCAGAGGTGGCTGCATCTCAGCACCAGGCGAGTGAGGGTCCCTGTATAATGAGCCGTCGGTACTGTGCCTATCAGGTACCAGGGATGCCAGGGGAGCCGACCTATGGATCAGATTCATTATAAGGAGTCACTAACGAGGGAGGTTTGGGGACAGGAAAAGCCCCCTGAATTATTCTGCCCCTCCCCCGGCGCATGCTGTGGTGTTGTGCTGCCCCCTGCTGGTCCGTCCCACCGCAGCAGAGATCCAGGCTCAGCACCAGCAGTAGAGGGGACCCCGCAATACCCCTGTCCCTGATGCCCTGTGGGGGTGAGTGGCCGGGCGCTGGGATCGGGGGATCCCGATCGGCTCATGGGGGATTCTGGTTTGTGTCCCTCTGCAGGAAAAGGAGCCACACCGAGACCGAGCAGGTAGGAACCCGGCTTCTCCCCCGTCCCGATTGACCTGCTTGGGTCAAAGGGCTCCTGGGTTCTCTGCTTAGTCTGGGAGTGGAATGGGGTCTAGTGGTTACAGCGGGGTGAGGTGGGGTCTGATGGTTGGGGCAGGGGGGGCTCAGGGAATTGGGTTCAGTGTGAGGCAGGATAATGGGCTCTTTGGGTGTGTTGGGAAATCTCCCTGCAGGTGGGGGGATATGACATTTACAAGGGGATTTTCTCTTTTAGCACCAGCCCTATGGGGGCATTAAAGGCACCAGCTCAGCAAGACCCCGTCTGTGAGTAACACACCCAGGGGGGTACCAGGGTGGGGCAGGACCCCTGGGGAGGGAAGGGGCTTGTGGGGGCTCCACCCATACGGGGCAGGGTTTGATTTACAGCTGCTGCTGTACGGGACTAAGGAGAGGGCCCCAGAGGTAGCTGGTGTCAGCTCAGAGTGTTGGACTCCCAGGAGCTCCCTGGGGCCACCCTCCCTTCCCGCTCTAGTTCCCCATCCACTCCCAGCTCCCAACCCCCTGCTCTAACCACTAGTCTAAACCCCACTCTCCTCCCGAGCCAGGGCGAGAACACAGGAATTCGGACTCCCAGCCCCTGCCCCATCTGTAACCCCCAGTTTTGTGCTCAGTTTTCCTCTCTGTAACATGTAGCTAATGGCCCTGGCCCGTAGGGCGGGGGAGGGGTGGCTGTGCTGGGCTCTGAGCCCCATAGCTGGACAGAGGGGTCAGAGCTGGGTGTGGGGTTCTGAACTGGGCCGGCCAGGGGTGCAGCTCAGCAGGTGTCTCTGTTCTGCAGACGCCTCCATCGACGAAGGGAAAGAGCCACAGACCCTGGTAAGTGTCCCCTGTTCCCCCATGGGGCCGGACCCCCAACCCTGACCCACATGGGCCCCATTTAACTTATCTTGCACACTCAGTATTTTGGAGGTGCGTCTGGGATCACCAGCTGGGATTGCAGGGATGTGTGTGTGTGTGTGTGTACTCTGTGCTCTGTGTGTGTTGGGGTGTTGGCTGATACACACACACACACACACCACAGTGACTCTCTCCCCTCCTAGCCCCAGGAGCCCGACCCTGGCGCTGATGGACTCACCTACGCTGAGCTGGACTGCCAGGTGCTGCAGGCCAAGCGGGGGGCCCCGGCTCCGGCCCTCAAGCCCGTCCTATACGCCGTGATCAATGTGAACTGGGGGGCCCCGCAGTGAGAGCTGCTGCCCTCCCCCCACTGCATCCCTGTCCCATCAAGCTGCTGTCCCCCTGCCCTTCCCAGACCCACATGTAGAGGCTGGTGTGTGGGGCTCAGCACCGGGAGGGGGAGGGGATGCGCCGAGGTGGCTGTTTATTTTATTTTGCATCCTGTTAATCTCCAGATTTGTAATAAACACAGAACCACAAACCAGCCCAACCTGGGCACCCCACAGCCCCCCTGTGCCCGTGCCTGGAATGTGTGTAACACCTGGGGGAGATGGGGTCAGAAGAGTGGGCTGGTTATACAGGGACCCCTCGCCCGGCATTCGGATGCGGCCACCTGTGGGGTGGGGCACTGGTGCTGGGAGATCCATCCCTGTGAGCCGGGGGGGCAAAGGGGAAGTGATCCCTGGGTGGTGCCCGTACGAGAGATTGGGGGGCATCACCCTGTGACCCCGATGTTCCCCTGCTATGGACCCCGGGCCGGACAGCATGGACACAGGGAGAGCCCCACAGCTAATCCCCCCTTTGGCACTTCCCCGCAAGGGCCCTTGGGGCAACATGGGAATCATCACTTTCTGGGAGCAGTGCAGGGGCTAGGACACAGAGCGGGGCAGTTCTGAATCCCCCATGCAGGGGGTCGGGGGGGCTGTTTTTCATTGAATGAGGCTGTGTTGCCGTTCAGTGGTGTGCAGAGGAAGAGTCCCCTCAGCTCCACCATCCTGGTGCCTGCACGAGATGCTCCTCCCCCGCCCCCAAGATACTGGCCCCTGCAGCCTCCAGACCCACAGATCGGCCTGGAGAGACACAACTGACCCACATCCACCTGCCTCTGGGCGCTCAGACATCGGCTGTCTCCCCGTTGTTTCCCTTAAGTCCTGTTTAAAGAGCCCCCCTGAGCCTGCTAGTCCCCACCTGTGACACTCTGTACCTCGGGGGGGGGGGGGGAACACTCTTCACCCCCATATTCATGGTTATAATATGATTGTGTGGTATCCAATGCAAAGTTTGTCATGTCGGGTGTCTTCAGGAGGCTCATGATGCACTGAGCATTGTTGTTACAGTGATGTTATAGGTTGTAATTTCATGTATATAATTATGAGGCTCAAAATGTGTCCTCATGGCTTAAAACAAGCCCAGGCAAAACTCTCCAGGAGCAGAAGGGCAGTTCACACCTCATCAGGACATGTATGGGACAAACCCAGCCCAGCCTCACAGGAACAAAGGACACTGACCTAGGCAGCAACAAAGGATCTGTTGGACTTTCGAGTGAGTCACCCCCCTTCCTTTGGTAAGTTTGAGACTGCGACGAGTAATGCTC